AGAGATTATAATTGTAATTACTACACGTTGATCAACCGTATTACCCTTGTTGCTATCTCCAATTATTTTACTTAGGCAATATACAGTGTGGGTAAAAAAAAACTAAACATCTAGAAAATTGCTAATTATTTAAAAATCATCTATGAACACTAAATTATTATACATCTTATGAAAGAGTGTTTGATCCCGAATCATTTAGTATCATTTGTTGTGTTGAATGTGATTACGCTTGGATGGACAGGAGGCATTGTTTGCGAGAGTGCAAAAAACGACTTGCGCCAAAGTTACTTATGCGATGTTTGAATAAAACGATTGGAATTTAAGTATTAATTCGGTCTTTGCAGATCCAAATAACATCCCTAACAAAATTAATCATGCCACACATATCACATATCAAATTTCAAATATCAAAGAACATTTGTGCGTGTGTATGTGTGTGTGTGACTTTGCTTCAGCATCTCATTTGATACATTCAATTCATTCTCTCACTTTCGCTTTACCTTCTGGTCTTTAATAATAACACAGAGTTCAGTGAACACGCGCGTCATTTCGGTTGCACCGTCAGTTGTCATTCTTTTCAAACCTTAAAAACCAAATGATAACTACGGCGGGGGAGGGGGAGGGATTGGGGTGTCCGAACGAGCCTTAAAAGTGGGTTACTCAGGGCCGTCTTTACACATAATTGCTTGGCTTCACTTTGACACTCACAACAAGGCGCAATTTTTTTTCTGTGCTTCTTTTTTGGTCGTTAAATGGAACATCGACTGCCCCCTCCCACCACCCCCTTTAACACGGTCATGAACAAAAGACAATACGGACTTTTAGATTTGCACGTCGACAGCTTTGACTGCAACGTGCGACGTCATTTTAAAGCACTGCGCATGCGTCACGTCGTCAAAGTCGGCGATGGGGAATACGTCAACCTTGATTTTCCTAAATCTAGTCACTATGAATATGACTGACAAAGAAAGCGGACAAAATATACAGTTCTTCACGTAGACAAAGGAACATCCTTCACTGCTATTATGTAAAAATGTGTAGAACAGGTGTCACATGCATATTCACCTGTTCTACACATTTTTGCATAATAGCAGTGAAGGGATGTTCCTTTGTCTACCTGAAGAACTGTATATTTTGTCCGCTTTTTTTGTCAGTCATGTTCATAGTGAGTACGGTACAGTTCCTCAGGTAGACAAAGGAACATCCCTTCCCTGCTATTATGTAAAAATGTGTAAAACAGGTGTGACATGCATATTCACCTGCTCTACACATTTTTACATGATAGCAGTGAAGGAATGTTCTTTTGTCTACCACAGTAATTGTTGAGAGTAGAATGAGGAACTGTATATTTTGTCCTCTTTTTTTTGTCCGTCATGTTCATAGTGTTACTTCCTGCATGCATGTATATCGTCGAGTGCAATCTAATTGATTTCTAATTGTAGTCAACATGGGCAGTTGAGTACGTTGACACGCATGATCAGTCGGCGTTCGTCGTGTTCTCGTCCACTCAATCTTAAAGTCCCTAATCTTAGATTGCACTCGACGATAAACATGCATGCAGGAAGTAACACTATGAACATGACGGACAAAAGAACATCCCTTCACTGCTATTATGTAAAAATGTGTAGAACAGGTGAATATACATGTGACACCTGTTCTACACATTTTTACATAATAGCAGGGAAGGGATCGATGTTCCTTTGTCGTCCTAAGGAACTGTATATTTTATGCGCACGCGGCATACTAGTACATTGAGCATGTTTATGTAAAATGTAAAAGCTAAATAAATATCAATATGTGTGTATGTACTAGATTTAGGAAAATCAAGGTTGACGTATTCCCCATCGCCGACTTTGACGACGTGACGCATGCGCAGTGCCTTAACATGACGTCACACGTTGCAGTCGAAGCTGTCGACGTGCAAATATAAAGTCCCTATTATTTCGTACCACGGCGAGCCCAGATTTACCTCGCGAGGGAAACCAGCGCATGCGCACATGGAATCCGGTATGGTGCTCAATAGGCCGAATCGTGGACTATCGGACAGGCTATTAAATGGAGAAGAGTCACCACCTTCTCATAGTTAGAACCTACTACACTATTTGTATAAGAGTAGGGGAAACCCAGGTGTAATGGTCCACCTGTACATCCCAATCAGTAATACAGGTAGGAAAGACCCTAGGGTTGCAGTGATTTAGCTCTCTTTTCACCCTCTTAGGCACAGTTGACACCAAATACTCAATAATACAAATTCAAAAACAAAAATGTTGATAAGAAAAAAAAGAAAAAAAAATTTGTTTCCACGAGTCATTTGGCTACGAACATCGATATTTGGGTAGGGGAACCTTTTATTTGTGTACTTAACCTTTGCGACACTGCTTTGAAATAGGTACAGGCCGGTTGTGCCCCCATAAACTGTTGGTGTCATAGTCCCAATCCACTACGATTCTTACTCCGTCACAGTGTCGTCAAGGATTTCATCAGCTACGCAGATACTTACATCATCGTGTCGAACGACGGGACCATGGACTGGTACGTCCAGGTCATCATAGCCGCTTCCTGCCCCATCGATATTACCTACTTCCCCTACGATGTGCAGCACTGTAACCTGACCTTTGGCCCTTGGTCACTGAAAACACATGAGGTAAGACCCCCCCCCCCCCCCCCCCCCACTCCGAGGTCGGAGGGACCGCAATCGTGTTCCAACAAAATCCCGATAATGCCCGCGTCACACTGTCCCGAGGTTGACATAAGATGGACACATGATGAAAGAAATTTTCAAATTCGGCTCTGATCGTAAAGACATCGGGCCATATCGGGCCATTTGTGAGGGCATCTTAAAGGGATCCGGTAACTTTGTCTCAGATTCTGAAACAAAATTCTGGATTTAGCTCATGATGCAATGATAATTATAAACCTTTAGGTCAGTCAGGAACCCCATGACTTTTACAAGCCGATCGCTTGTCTGATTATCAAGATATTTATGATTGGAATTACAAATTTTGAAAACCGTTCGCCTGACGGTTTTCATAACACTACAGTCTATTGGGGAAAAAGAGTATGGTAAAACCGGTCACTCAAAGATTTTTACTTTTTTGAGGCACTTCTTGATCATTTTGAAGCGCAATTTTTGTAGGGCTTCAATATTACACCATATCACAGACACTGATAACGCGTAGGGCCGTGTATCTCAGATTTAACATTGTTAAACGATCCCTTTAAGCCATCGTATGACCGCCATTGGATTTTTCAGGCTCCGGCAGCAACTTCGTGAGCGATGGCAAAATCTTTGGCGTGACAAAAAATTACCCAAAGACCTTGCGAAGGTTCATTTTCGTGTTGAATTCGTGTGTCCATATTGTCCTTCTAATCGTCTCATCTTCATCTGACTCTTCACTTAGTGTGATCATTGGTGCCATCGGGCATTTATCCCCTTACGAAGACAATACGAATGAAACAAAAAGCTGCCCGATTGTCTTCGGAAGGCAACACGACTACGTGAAGCCCTCGCAATACCATCGTGTACCCATCGTATTATAGTACGATGACATCGAGATGGGACCACGATGTCGGTGAAGACAGCCAAGTTTAAGTAGCTCAAGAACTTCCCATGAAAAAGCCAACCTCAGAGCCACAGCTTTTTCAAGTTAGACAGAAAATGAAACATAGACAACAAATGACAAAGCACAATATCCAGAAACTGTCTGTCAGGCACTGTATACTAAACTGAGATGTGAAATTAATATTGCAAATCAAGGCTACCGACTGCCGAGCTTAGACCAAAACTGCAATTGCAGACCGCTCATATTCAATTTGGAGTTATTGGACAATTGAAAAACCTTATTTATTACTTTTATTCCTTCAACAAATTTGCAAGGTCCTTTTACAAAAGTCAACCAACGCCGATGCCTCGGGGAACAGATTTCGTAAAAATGGAGTCTGGATACTGGAACAGACAATATCCATAAATCTGATCTTTGAATCGTGTTGGTACAATCTCTCTTGGTCCGCAGTCCACTTTACCCTGCAAATCAGCCGTCAATCGAGTAAGTATACATTCCATTATCATAATAAGGGCCAAATGCATTTTTGATGCAATTTTTTTGATCAGTTAATTCATGCATTTATTAACTCATTCATCCTTTCGTTCATTCATTCATGTATTCATTTAATTATTCATTCATTCATTCATTCATTCATAATTATTCATTCATCCATTCATTCATACTGTAACGAAACCGGTGACTCAGACAAATTTTGCCCAGCAGCTTACTTTGTCATGATGCCTCCTGCTTGCAGGTTTTTCAAGTCCATTACAAATTCACCGTAGATCCGTTCGGCAGAGATATACTGACCCGTTGACTTTGACACCGCTCTGATATATTAGGGACTTTTAGATTTGCACGACGAGAACGTGGACTGCGACGAGTGATATCCTTTTAAGACAATACGACGTCCTTTTATGGCACTGTCGGGCACTGACAGTGCCTTAAAAGGATGCCACACGTGGCAGTCCACGTTCTAGTCGTTCCTATTGCCATGTCCAGGGGTAGTTGTCTGGGGGTAGATGTCCGGGGTGTAGTTGTCATAGGGCGGTAGTCGTCCTAGAGGGTGGTTGCCCTAGGGGGTAGTTGTCCTAGGGGGTAGTTATCTTAGAGGATGGTTATCCTATGGGGGTATCCGGGGGGTGGTTGTCCAGGGGGTAGGTATCCGGATACGCTCTCTCATACACGTCGGTGGGGAATCTTGTAGATTAATGGGAAATAATATGATAAATATCTCAGAATAAGTAAATTCATTTCATGGGGTGAGGTCACCTTTAAAAAAAATGTGCTAGCTTTGACCCAGAAATATTTTTATGTACAGAAAAAATGCAAAATAAATTAAGTAAAATAAAATGAATATTAAAAAATGCTATATTTGCATATTTAAACAGACTATATTTGCATATTCAAACAGAGTACAATTGCATATTTGAGTAGGGTGCAGTTGTGATTTAAACTGGTTACATTTTCATATATTCGTCGCGAATGCAGGTTTCTACACTCGTACTGTCGTTGTCCCATGTATTCTCCTGTCGGCGTTGATGGTGCTCGTCTGTTGGCTTCATCCAGCGTCTGGTGAGAAGGTGACCTTGGCGGTCAGTAACCTTCTGGCGTTGATCCTCTTCCAGCAGCTCGTGGCCGATAGACTGCCACCAAGCGGTGAGACTACGTCCATCATTGGTAAATATGCCTTTACTTAAGAGACGGCTGAGTAGTTGTCTAATTCTTTGTACGTCGGTTTTGAACAGAATCGTAGTAGGCCCACGCGTCCTTTGATAAGAATCGTTTATCAAATGCCCTCATAATTATACTTAATAGTCTATACCACAAATAACTGTTTTCCCATTAGCACATTTCTGTTTGCAGTGCATTAAAAAAAAAGAAGAAGCAAGATTCGGTCTTTTTGTTTTACGCCCCAGGCCCCCTTTAGAAAAGTTACTAATTACGTGACACCCTCTTCTCACCCTCAGTGATTTTCTTCACCGTGATGATTGGGTTGAGTTCTGCTGAGGTGGTGTGCTCCATCATTGTCCTGCGACTCTACCACACCGGTGGAAGGCGGCCGATACCCAACTGGTTGAGACGCACGATGCTGCACCCGTTCATCATGCGTCTCTACACGAACGCAGAGTGTACCGCCATGCTGCGAGCCGAGGATAAGGATAACGAGTAAGTATAGCCCGATGCCACTGAAAGATCCTTGACAATTACTGTCCCACAGACAGCTTTTCCCGGAAAACTACCCCTTGGACAAATCTATCTCCTATTAGAATCGCCTCTTACGTCAATGTCGCCTAGTTTAGTAATACTTATACTATCTAATATTTCATATTTTGTTGTTAAGGTTGTGTTTCGATCTTAAAAATCAATTCCGAAACCGAATCAATTTAAGCCTATTAAAATTAATCAAATTCAAGACTTAATGATCGCCCCCCCCCCCCTCCCTCGGCCCCGTCTTATAAAGAGTTGATATTAATCGCGACTTATTTTCGTTTTATATCAATGGCAACTATGTACATAACAAATATAGGAGATTGCAAAGTTGTGATTGATTTTAGGACTTGAGATTGATTTGGACCAATTAATCGCAACTCTTTATTAGATGGAGCCTCTTGTCGATTGCCCTTGCGCTGTTGGACGGAGTCCGTAGTCGACATCGAGGCGAGGGCCTCTTAACAAGTGATCAGAATTATATATTCACGAGACCCGATTTCCTACTGAATTATGCATGTATACGTGAATTACGTAATCACCGCAGCGATTGCCCAGCAATTTAGCCAATGAAATCTCAATGATTTCTTTTTTCAATTTTGGAATAGTCTATTATTTATTGGGGGAGTCATGTAAATCTCACGCTCATAATATATTAACACGTAAGTATATTATGAAATATTTGATAATTTACTCATTAAAGATATTGCATTTTTAACATAGACCATCACAGTGGCGCAATGAGCAAAAACGTTTGGGGGGGCTGAAGAAAAAAAATCCGCAGCACCCCACTCTAACATGCAGGCCCCGCTAAACGTTTCGCAAAGTGGGGTCTAGGGGCAAAGCCCCGGCGGGGGTCAAGAGGCGGAGCCCCCGAATCTCAAGGGTTATGGGCATCAGTGGCGGATCCTGGAATTTCTTACCGGGGGGGGGGGCACAAAATGGCATGGGGTAAAATATATATAAAACAACGAAGCGATAGAACGAGGCTTTAGCGGCGAGGTAGCGGAGCGACCAAGCGGGGGTGTGTCTGGGAGGGGGTTTTGGCCCCCTCCCAGAGTAAGAAGCATTTGCAAGTTTAGAACCAAATTAGACGCATTTTCAGGCACTTCCTAGCGTAATATGACGTAAAATTGCTTTCTCCTACCCCTTCCAAGAGTAGGGATCTTTTCCAATTTGAGAACCACATTTGGCGCATTAAATTCCACCGGCACTTCCTGGAGAAAAAAAACGAGGCCTTCTGATTGGTAAAAGGTTAGAGAAAAGTGATCTGTCACGTCTTGAGACGTTGTATATGCTTTGATGCCACACAATGCACAAAGACGATGGTCCGGTACTTCATCAGTAGTACTTGCAAAAAAAATTTCGAGTGTGTAAACGGTGTCGTTATCAGGGGCGTCGTTAGATTTTTGTCAGTGGGGAGGTGGTGGAGTGGGGAGGGTGTAGAGGCCACCGATTACCGACAAAACGAGCAACCAATTACCGACAAATATATTAAAGCCAATGTCCAAATGGCTACAAATTTAACCCTATAAACCCGGGCCAGGAACTAAGTTATTTTTCAGTCTCCCCCTCCCGCGCGAAGCGCGGACACTCATATGGAAACGTTGTATCATCCGCTCAATCTGACTTACGTGCATAGAACAAATAAGCACTTTTCTATGAAAAAGCGAAGTTTTCTAAAATGAGCGTTTCTTTCCAGCATTGGGGCGCCCGGGAGTCACTCGGGTAACATTTCATAAAGTATAATATAAAAAGACCATATGCAAATTTTCTGTACTTTTGTCGGAAAAAATAGATTTATCCAGCACAATGTCGTCTCTTTTTGCGTTGGAGAAGAGCAAAAAGCAAGTTTCAACCATACTTTGGCCGTTCTCGCAAGCTCTCACTCGTTTCACTGTGGTCAAGCGACTTTAGGGCAAGCGGTTAATGAAAATACTTATCGTTAGCTTTCTTCTGGTATTAAACTTGTTTTTATTGATTGTATAATTTTGTCGGAATAAAGGAAACGAAACGGCTTGACCAATAACTTATCAGCGTCTGAATTGACCTTTTGACCTTGAAGTCCCTTATAAAAGCGCACATACAAAGGTTCTAATGAAGTCATCTTCGCTCATTCGGTGTCTTTTATCGTAAAATGATAACTTTCACAATGTTTATATATCTTTTTTTTTAATTATGAGTAAGATATAACATATTTTGTCTGATATCACTGAAGTTTTGGGTTTTATTTAATGAGTAATTTTAAAACAAGAGCCATTTTACTGTTTTAATTTACCGGATCGTACCATTAAAGTCACATGGTAGAAAGATGCATTTTCCAACTGCGCCAATATTAAATCAATTACGTTCCGACATTCTGTTAAATGGGTTCGTGTTGTTAAGAATCCACTGCTTTCTGCTCGACCAAACGTCCACACACTATGAATATAGCGGACAAAGAAAGCGGACAAAATATACAGTTCCTCAGGTAGACAAAGAAACATCCCTTCACTGCTATTATGTAAAAGGGTGAATATGCATGTGACACCTGTGTTCTACACATTTTTACATAAAAGCAGTGAAGGAATGTTCCTTTGACTACCTGAGGAACTGTATATTTTGTCCGCTTTCTTTGTCAGTCATGTTCATAGTGACATGCGGAATCGTTTATCAACTAAATTATTCAAATTTATGGATGCTTCCTCCCCAGGTGTTTGTGTTGTTGAAGCATTTCATTCACCTGCTATCATTCTTTGTACTCCAATTGCCAGAACGCAAATTACATTTTGGTTTTATAGCTTCAAGCGGAGTCGTTTATCAACTATATGTATTTAAATTTATGAATGCTTCCTTCCCAGGGGTGGTGTTTATGCATTTCATTCACCTGTTATGATTCTTTGTACTCCAATTGTTAGAATACAAAATGCATGTTGTTTTTATAGTTTCATTCAATAAGTCAGTCAATAAAAGAGTATGCTCTGCACAATAAAAACAATGTGTGTCCCTATTGTACAATGTAATGTGTCCCCTCATTTTGTAATAGTTAATTTACCCATTCACATAATGGAACTACCTGCCCGGTGAAGCCAGTGGTCCGTGACCCCTGAGCACTCAACACCGTGTGGGAGTCAGCTTGTGCTCAACTTCTTTTATGAGACAAATCAAAGCAAACGATCCGTTGTACCGTTCTCGACTCTTAATTCTTGTTTGGATCCAGTTCCCCCCCCCCCTCCCGCGCGAAGCGCAGCAGTTTTGACGTTTCAATAAATTAATACTCTTAATTCTTGTCTGAATTCATTTTCGCCTATCCCGCGCGAAACGTGGAAGCTTTGACGTTTCATTAAATTATTAGAGAAAGAGGACGATTCGTTGTATCGTGTTCTTGTCTGAATTCAGTTCCCCCCTTAGCGCAAAGCGCAGAAGCTTTGACACTTCATTAAATTATTAGAGAAAGAAGACGATTCCTTCCGTCTCTCAATCCTTGTCTGAATTCATTATCGCCTATCTCGTGTGAAGCGTGGAAACTCTGACGTTTCATTAAACTATTACCCTTAATCCTTGTCTGAATTCATTTTCGGCCATCTCGCGCGAAGCGCGGAAGCTTTGACGTATCAATAAATTATTACCCTTAATCCTTGTCTGAATTCATTTTCGCACATCCCGCGCAAAGCGCGGAAGCTTTCACGTTTCATTAGATTATTAAAGAAAGATTACTTGTATCGTGTTCTTGTCTGAATTCAGCCCCCCCCCCCCCCCCTCCTCCCGCGCAAAGCGTACGTGGAAGTTTTGGCACTTCATTAAATTATTAAAGAAGAAAGGCGATTCGTTGTACCGTTCTCGACTCTTAATCCTAGTCTGAATTCAGTTCCCCCTCCCTCCCCGAAGCGCGGAAGCTTTGCCGTTTCATTTAATTATTAAAGGTACTATGTCCCATTTGCAGGCCAAAAAAATGAAAAAGTTAAATTCCAACTGCATTTGAAAGATATTACTAATTTAGAACTTCCCTAAAAAAGGTGGGGCTTGAAAATGTCTTCAAGTGGGAAAACAATGACTATTAGTTGTCAAATCGACTTTAGGGCTATAGAGCCCAAAAGTAATAGTCTTGATTTTCAGACAATTGTACCGAATGGTCATACGTTTTATGCTGCGCAAACATTCAATTAGTTTAATCTTGGCCATCACAAGAAGTGGGTTATTGATGTAGACAAAATGCTCATGTACCCTTTACAACTCTTTTCATGTAATACCAAAGAAGAAAAAAGCCAGTCAGTCACTCTATAGTGTCTGACAGTGAAGTCTAGCAAGTAAACGGGTTTCCTTGCATATTTTGAATATGAGGACACTGCTAAAGTTTAAATTTCACAGATAGGACATACATGACATATTCATAATTCCTGCAAAGTTTTACAGAATTTGAGGTTGGCTGCAAAAGGGACATAGTACCTTTAAAGAAGGAAGACGATTCGTTGTACCGTTCTCGACTCTTAATTCTAGTCTGAATTCAGTTGCCCCCCTCTCCCCCCCCCCCCTCCCCTCCCCGAAGCGCGGAAGCTTTGCCGTTTCATTTAATTTTTAGAGAAATAAGACGATTCGATTCGTTGTACCGTTCATTACTCTTAATCTTTTCTGAATTCAATTTTGACTAGTGTAACTGTTTTATGCTCTTCCTGGCCATTTCGGAATGTATCAGTTTGCAACAGAAATGGAGAAACGCGCATTTTGTTGAAAATCATGTGATATCACAAACTTTTATACATCACTTGTATATGGAGTTGAAAATAAGTCATGGTTCAATTTCATTTGGGACGGGGGGGGGGGGCTGGCGCCCCCCCCCCCCCCCCAGCAGTACGCCAGTGGACCATCATATATTTACAAATAATCACAAATGGGAAATAAAATTTTCCGTGCAGCAACAGATGCGTCTTTGCATCAGTGCTGAAAAGCTATCATTAGTGACTTTCAGATTGAGTGGACGAGAACACGATGAACGCCGACTGATCATGCGTGTCAACGTACTTAACTGCCCATGTTGACTACAATTAGAAATCTTATGCATTGCACTCGACGGTAAACATGCATACAGGAAGTAACACTATGAACATCACGGACAAAGAAAGAGGACAAAATATACAGTTCCTCATTCTACCCTCAACAAAAGAACACCCCCTTCACTGCTATTATGTAAAAATGTGTAGAACAGGTGAATATGCATGTGACACCTGTTCTACACATTTTTACATAATAGCAGGGAAGGGATGTTCCTTTGTCTACCTGAGGAACTGTATATTTTATGCGCACGCGGCATACTAGTACCTTGAGCATGTAAAGGCGCTATATACATATCAATATGTATGTATGTATGTACTAGATTTAGGAAAATCAGGGTTGACGCATTCTCGATCGCCGATTGAGACGATGTAACGCATGCGCAGTGCCTTACAATGACGTCACACGTTGCAGTCAAAGCTGTCGACGTGCAAATCTAAAAGTCCCTATTAATAGTCTACCTGTACCTGACCCTTTGCTGCCCGGCAAAGCCCCTGCAGAATCGCGGCCTGGTTCTCGCGAAGCAGCAGTCTCACTCTCACGGAGGAAATCAGCACAGAGCGGTAGCGCATGAAAGATCACACTAGCCACTAGGAAGATTTACAAACACATCTTATCCTTTTAGTGCAGATTTTACCTTATTGCATAAATTTCATTATCTTTAAATCGGTCAATTTTCAACCTTCTGGCTGCATATTCGATGCTCTCCGAGATATCGTCATCATCCGTCGCGGAACAAAAGTGAACAGCCATTTTGAATGTTGTTGTTGTTGTTGTTGTTGTTCTTGGGTTTCAAGGCTGACCAATCTAAAAACATTATTTCTGCCTGGCTGTCATGGTTTTTTTTAGTTGTTCATCACTGATGATTAGATGGCGCTGTTTCTTTCCCTCTTCAGTGGGTATCATGCACTGTGCAGCTTCCGTTTATTCGATGGTGCGGGCAATAATTTAGGTGTCGACCACGAACAGGGTGTGAGTATTTTATTAATAATAGGGGTTAACTTTGCAGTGCTAAACTATACTTACCCTTCCCTTCCTCTCCAAGAGAGTTACTTATAACTTGTTAGCTATAATGACTGGTATCTACCTGTAGCTTTTATGAAAGCCAACAGAGTGTACAGATGATCTTTATTCACCAGTAAATTCTTTAAACTCTTATCTTTAATTTACAACCGAGAAAACAACCTGTTCCTCTCTCGTACATATTTCTTACAAAACAATAAATAATGTTCGATTTTTCCAGTTCCATGACAAAAATCGCATAAACCATTTTCATGTTTATTAATACTGAATTTTTAAAAGCTTAATTTGCATTTTCCCACTTTCATTTGATGTAATAATCTGTCATCTTGTCTACAAAAACCAGAAAAGTTAATAAGTCTCGATGTTTATGAATGGATCTAAAATAAGAATTTACCTTTGTCTGTCTGTTGTTTCCCACTGATTTTGCCATAAATGCTGATAAAATTGACGCATGTGGTTAGTTAATTCAGTGGTACACCTATTCCGTGGTACAGTTAATTCTTTGTGTTCTTTTTGTGTTTGCATTTTTAGCCAAACTGTCGGCTCTTTCGTTTCCCAGTAGGTCACAATGCGCAGGTCATGCATATACACACGAGTCAGTCATGAATATTTGATATTACGTCATAGTAGCTCTCTCTGATTGGATGATTTTCACCGAACCACAGTTGGGTCGGAATATTCCCCAAACAATGAAAAATATAAGACATTCAGATCACTTGTTAAAGGTACTATGTCCCATTTGCAGGCCAAAAAAATGTTAAATTCCAACGGCATTTGAAAGATAATAATAATTTAGAACTTCCCTCAAAAGATGGGGGCTTGAAAATGTCTTTAAGTGGAAAAAATAACGACTATTAGTTCCCGAATCAACTTAAGAGCTATAGAGCCAGTAAGTAATAGTCTGATTTTCAGACCATTGTACCGAATAGTCGTACGTTTCTGCTGCGCAAATAGTCAATCAGTCAATCAGTTTAATTTTGGCCATTACAAGAAGTGAGTTATTGATGAAGACAAATGCTCATGTACCCTTTACAGCTTATGTTATGTATTTTATTACCAAAGAAGAAAAAAGCCAGTGAGTCACTCAATAGTGTCTGACAGTGATGTCTAGCAATTAAACAAGTTTCCTTGCATAATTTAAATATTAGGACACTGCTAACATTTAAATTTTACAGATAGGACATACATGACATATTTATAATTCCTGCAAAGTTCTACATAATTTCATGTTGGCTGCAAAAGGGACATAGTATCTTTAAGAGCCCCCGGCGCAAGCGCCTCGGCTTGTTTCGCCTCGATGTCGACTACGGACTACAAGAGCAACAGGGCTATCGACAAGAGGCTATATAGACGGAACCCAAGAGTGTTTATGAGTGGCAATGTTTTAAATTCTAATTTATTTATTTATTCATTCATTTCATTATAAAAGGTAAAGACCAGTTTTGGAAAAGCCTCAATTTCATAAATATGAAATGGAAGCTGTTATTACCAATCATGTGAAAGAATATGTTTTGAATAATACGTGATGATAAAAATGTTGCCGGGAAACCGCCTACTAATTGATATATTTGCTAAATTAGTTTATCTATTGGGATGTGAGAGCGTGTGAGAGAGAAAATGCACGTGTTGCGCACGTTTGCCTAGTCCCATACATCTTTCTGTGTACGGTGCTTGTAAATTTACCAAGACTGGGCCAAATTTCTTATCATTTTGATGATTCCAGAACCTTGCAGTACACACCATTACTTATATGCTAGATGAGCAACCTTTTCTGATCGATTCCACAACGTTTCTTTCACAATGCAATCGCATGACCACAACTGATCGTTATCTTTAACATCATTGGGGGGGGGGGGGGGGAGGGGCTTCTTGCGGCGCTCCTTCGTACGAATCGCATGCCTTGGCCTACGGCCCGACCATGCATAACAAACATGACAAACACCTGTGTTCCTCTTGATTTTTCAACGGAGGAATTTTACTCATTCCATTGGGAATAAAACGAAATTTAACGGGTATTTATTTTCTAAACCGAAATATTTAGTGATCAAAGATTAAATTTGCATAGACAAGTTATTCAAAACTGAATGTGCGCAGATGGCGATCACTAGTAATACATGGCCAGTCGTACCAGAACATAATCTGTATAATTTTTTTTTATTTCCTTTTTCAGACTCCTGACTATGAATTCAGTAAGTAATCCGACTCCACAAAACCACACCAACATTTCAACACAAAACCAAGAACACGGGATGCACGAGGAAACGGAAAAGAATGGTGTCGTGCAAACTATGAGTCAGTTGCCTAAATTCGACACTGTAAGCATGCGCAGTGACCTGGAATTGGTTAGCAGGACGTGGCAGGAAGTGGCCATCGTCTGCGACAAGGTTTTGTTTATCCTTCTGCTACTGGTCACTTTAGTCACTTGGTTGTATGTACTTGTTTGCCTTCTGATGTAGAAATGATAACGGTAGGAGAAGATGAGGATTGCCTCTACCACTTAGAAGTCACGGAGGGCAAATTTATATTTCCGCTTTTGCTGCTGGTCACTTTTTATGTGGTTCGGATGTACATGTACTATATTATAGCTTTTTTTAATTTGTGATGTAATCACATCTTCAATACATTCCTTCGAACAGGTTGCATTCCAAAAAATTGGAAAAGGGCACGAGTTACTCCTCTGTTTAAAAACAAGAAATTACAAACCCATAGACTTCTATTAGTTCTCTCGCAAATAATAAAAATACTATAAAAAGCTTTACACTCTCAACTTTACAATTATTTTGCGGACAATGTTCTAGATCTATTGAGTCCCCGGCAATCTGGCTTTCGTATACTACATTCAACAAGTAGTGTTTTAATTGATGTTAATGAATATATTGTACTTTAGATCGAAAACAGTTTAGTGACTGGAGTAGTTTTCAATGATTAAAAAAGCGCATTTGATTCGGTATCGCTTAACTTACTTTTATCTAAATTATCGAGTTACGGCGTTAACGAAACAGAAGCAATTTGGTTGTCGAATTATTTACACTGCCGTGAATAATGTGTTGAATTAATATTGTCAGATGTCAGACCTATATCAAAAGGTGAACCCGAAGGAGTATGCTTTGGCCAATGTTATCTTCTACATTTTTGAGTGATGCATGTAATACCAAGTTTGGTAATCAGTTCAAATGATGTGTGTACAGACTATACTGCTATATCTTGTCGGGATAAAGCGGTTTCATTCATTCAGAAAGAGCTAGAGTTTGGAATGAATAAAATATTACAACAGATTGATAACAATCTTAAATATAAAGAAAACAAATTGGATCTTGATTGGGACTCGTCCAGAGGTGAAGAATAAAGAACTGCAAATGCAAGTAAATCATAACACACTCGAACAAGATGTTCAATTTAGGTACCTCAGGTTGATAATAGACTCTTGCCTAAGTTGGGATTGTCATATTAAAGATAAACTTGAGTTCTGGTAAAATAAAGAAGAAAATAAATTCTCACAAGATCAAACGAAACTTACACTGAATGTTCAAGATTACAAATAAATGTCATTTGCCAAACAATGTTGGTAGAAAATGTATATCGGCTGAGTAATGAGCATACTAAGATAAGGACATCAAGGTAAGTAGCCCCGACACCATTTGTGTAGTCCCGTATACATCTTTCTATGTATACCGGCTGAGTAATGAGCATACTAAGATAAGGACATCAAGGTAAGTAGCCCCGACACCATTTGTGTAGTCCCGTATACATCTTTCTGTGTACCGTGCATGCTACTTTACCAAGACTGGGCCAAATTGTTTATGATTTCGATGACTCCAGAACCTTACAGTACACACCAATAAATGCTACATGATCAACTTTGTTTCTGAACCATTCCACACCTTTTCTTTAACAATGCAATCGCATGACCATAACTCAACTTTATGTTTAATGTATTATATAATAAGTTGTCAAGAACTATTAGTTTTATCAGACGCATTCGGTATCTCTTGCTCAAGCAAGTCCTAGTAATGACTTATAATAATCTCTTTTTACCTCACATTGACTACTGTAATATAATATGGGAACACAGAGTGTAGTATGCAATATTACAAGAGTTCAACAATTACAAAACCGCTATGAGAGACTTATGCTACATGCATATTTTTGTACACCTCCTGTTACTATAAAATCCGAACTTTCTTAGCAATTAGTTCGTCAAATAATTAAGTACCAAATTTGTCTGTATATATATATATATATATATATATATTGGATAAGGCAGACTAATGGAGGAATAGACCAAATCTAAGTATATATATATATATATATATATATATATATGTATATACATAAACAGGTGTGTGTGTGTGTGTGTGTGTGTGTGTGTGTGTATATATATATCAGGCGCGTAAGTAGATGGGGGGTTGGGGTTAACCCTCCCCTCTCAATTTTTTGTTATATTTTTTTTATTGGAGGATAACCCCCCTCACTTTTATGTCAAATAAAGAAAAAAAAGGGGAAAAAAAATATTATTTTGGGTGTGCTAAATGGTGAAAAAACTTACCTTCCCCCCCCCCCCCCCCCACTGAACGAAAATCGGTCGGCATCATTTTCCAATTGTCGGGACAAAACAAAACTATGTGCCCTTACCCCCTAAATTTCGTTTATTATCTTTATGCAATTATATAAACTTAAACTATTGTATCCAACCATATCATGTTCATGAAAATGTATGGTGAAAAAAAGAAAAAAAGATGCAGAAACCAATAAATCACTTCAAATCAAATCAAATGTTGTGTATGTATGTATACTATTGAGAGAGAAAGAGAGGGAGAAAGAGAGAAAGAGAGGGTGTACTAAAGAAATAGAAGGGAAATTATAATTATTAATCGGAGAGGCTGGGGGACTGGTTTTATGCGTGTAAAACGTATTTGGGATTGAAGAGCGATAGTAATATCATGATTGAACGAGTCATTTAAATGGTTCATAAGAAATATTAAACGGTGCCCGACAATTCTTGGTCTTAGGACAAATCCTCCAGGGTATATTTTATCGAAAATGTAGTGTTACGGTTACCATGACAGCGGTAGATCCAGGATTTACGAAAAGGAGGGGAGTTGGGCGTAACCCAAAGAGCATAAGCGTGACTCCTTCGGGGTAGGGTCCAAGGTCCTGTCCTGTTACTGTATTTGGCTATGCTTAAGACCCTGTGTTGCAGGGCAGAGCCCTGTCGGTATCGGATGCTTTCGAGTTTTAGCAATTCAAAACTTTTAAGGAATCCGTCTTGAGCAATAGAAATTGTAGTTTACACCTTAAAATTGTTATTGCATTATTTCCTTGAAATTCAGTGCTCTCTCTCTCTCTCTCTCTATCTCTTTCTCTCTATCTCTCTCACATACACTATTACCTATGAACAATTTCATGTGGCAAATGGCTGTTTCGGATTCGGTGCAGGTGAACCACTTTTATCTGTTATCATAGTAATAGACATGTGGCTGTTGTCATTCATAACAATTTGTTTTTTGAACAGGACCCTTTTAATATGACAAAGCAATTATTAGACACAATCACATTCCCACTTCACCCGATGTGCTCGCCAATTGTGTAAAGCATAAATGGAATAGCATTTTTGTTTATTAAAGTGTAAATCATTAGATAGAGAGGATTTTGATCTGGGGACTATTTTGTATATACACCTTTGGTCATATTAATGCTGGAATAATTATTTTCCCCCAATTTATTGAATGATTTTGACAATGATTTATTTCTCATAGATCTAGATAATAGTATACATTCTCAGATTTTAGTGAATGGCAATTGGGGAGTGTTTGTTTTGCGTGACTGCTAAAGCTTGTGTGTGCTACTATGCTAATCAACTTTGGGACCTACGTTCTTAAGTCATAACTGACAGTAATGGGGATAATGCCTCATAAAAGGGCACTAATATAGCACATCTACACGGCTTTGATTATGGGGGCTCACAGTAACGAGGCCATTGCTTAGCCAATGAATCATTACTGTACGCAGCGGGCGCTAGGGTACGTCGACGCCCCCATACACAAAAATAAACAAAGGAAATACAATAAATGATCAATGATTCATTGCATTTCCCCAAATTCCCAACAGGAACAAATCCTCTGCAGGGTCATGCATTATGGTTCAAGGCATGCCCACATAGAGGTTTTCTTATGTTGGGGGCTGGGGCAAACTTATGAATTATTGAAAATTTATTGCATTTTCTTTGATGTTTTGTTTTTGTGGGGGCGTCGACGTACCTTAGTGCCCGCTGCGTACAGTCATGATTCATTCGATAAGCAATGGCCTCGTAACTGTGAGCCCCCAGGATAAAAACCGTGTCTATGTGCTATATTAGTGCCCTTGTATGAGGCATTAATCCCTATTACTGTCAGTTATGACTTAAGAACGTAGGTCCCCTAGTTGATTTAGTAGTCACGCAAAACAAACACTCCCCAATTGTCATTCAATAAAATCTGAGAATGTATACTATTATCTAGATCTATTCATTGTCAAAATCATTCAATAAATTGGGGTAAAAATAAATATTCCATCATTATGACCAACAGTGTACATACACACACGAACACACACACACCCACATACACACACATATATCTGTATATACTCAATTTGCTCAAAACAATATAATAAAAGCGTACGTAAGTACGTAAATATGTGAAACAGAACCCTTTTTCTTTTTTAGTCTATTATAAGTATTTCATTTCATTTTCATTTTTTCATTTCCAACAAAGTACAATACGTAATAATGAATACAATGTAAAATGTATACAAAACATAGTTATATTTGTAATAAACAAATCTCAATAATAATTTATACATTTTAGGAAGACAAAAAATAAATTTTAAAATTTAACTGCATTTATATTTTGAAAAGCAGAGCTTGTAAATTGTGGACCCCTCAGATAATAATGAGTGTGAAAAAATATGGAATACATAATCAATGAAAGAAGAATAGTGGCCAACAAAGAACATTTATTAAAACACGTAATGACTGTAAACAAGAAGACGTAACAAATTACATGACGAAGAAAGAACAGAAAAAAGAAGAAGAAAACAAAAAAAGTATCTCTTCCGTCGCTGAAGATTATCTTCTTATACATACATTTTGCAGTTTGTGCGATGGGCTCAACGAGAATGTTAAGTCGTGGGATCTTTTCTCGACAAAATGATGATGATAATATCAAACCAGGTGGCAAGGGTGAGAATGGAAATCAAACCAAAACGAATCCTAACACAAGGTACCGCCACTGAATTTCATTCACCCTCGCGTCACCACGAAGCTGCTGAACGCCCTCTACGACTGGTACATCGATAGGTTGTACCCATATGTACTCTATGGCCCGAATTCACAAAGCAAGGTTTGAGCTCAGACCAAGGTTTACGTACGTCATATGACGCGTTTTAGACCTTGGTTCAGACCTTGGTCTGAAATGCATTTCACAAAGCCGGTTTGTCCTCAGACCAAGGTTTATGTACGTCATATGACGCGTTTCAGGTTTGAGTTCAGACCTTGGTCTGAAATTACATTTCACAAAGCAAGGTTTG